GCCTTCAACTGATCCCGAACGAAGTGGCAGTCAAGCTCAATATGCTTGGTGCGCTCGTGGAAAACAGCATTGTTGGAAATATGAATGGCGGACATATTATCACAAAATAACGTGACAGGTTGCGGAAACGTGATATTCAAGTCATGCAGAAGAGAAGATAACCAAATCAACTCACAGGTTGTTTGCGCCATTGCACGATACTCCGATTCTGCACTGCTCCGAGAAATGGTCGCTTGCTTCTTAGATTTCCAAGAAATCAAGGAGCTTCCAAGAAAAATACAAAATCCAGTGACAGACCTCCGAGAATCAACACATGCTGCCCAATCTGCATCCGAAAAAGCACTCAGTCGATGTTCATTATCAGCAGAAAAGAACAGACCTTGTGCAGGAGCTGCTTTCAAGTATCGCAGAACTCTGGTTGCTGCCTGAAGATGATCAGACCTTGGAGCAGACATATATTGGCTCAATTTGGTAACAGCAAACCCAATATCTGGTCTTGTTATAGACAGATAAATAAGCTTTCCAATAAGCTTTCGAAAAGGCAATGGATCATCAAGAACCTCACCAGAAGTTTCAGAAATTTTCTGCCGAAATTCCATAGGTGTAGATGCAGGTTTGCATCCTAACAGACCATGATCTTCGAGCAACTCCAACGTGTATTTTCGTTGACAAACAGAAATACCTCGTGAAGATCTAGCCACTTCCAAGCCCAAAAAATACTTCAAATCTCCCAAGTCTTTAAGCTGAAACTTGGAACTAAGAGCATTTTTCACTTCAGAAATCAAAGTAACATCATTACCAGCCACCAAAATGTCATCAACATAAACTAAGATAGCAACAATAGATCCTTCTCGACGTTTAACAAACAAGGAGGTATCTGAAGTGGATTGCACACAGCCAGCAGCAAGCAATACTTCAGTTAACTTGATATTCCACTGTCTACTCGCTTGTTTTAAACCATAGAGTGACCTTTGCAGTTTACAAACATGATGAGAAGGTATATTCTCCCCCTTAAGCGATGCATAACCTGGTGGTAATGACATATAGATTTCTTCAACCAAATCACCATTTAAGAAAGCATTTGAAATATCTAACTGATGAATCACCCACTTTTCTGATGCTGCAACAACAAGCAAAACCCGAACTGTTGTCATCTTAGCAACCGGGCTAAATGTCTCTAAGTAATCTATACCCTCAAGTTGAGTATATCCCTTCGCTACTAATCGAGCCTTGTAGCGTTCTACAGATCCATCAGGGTTAAATTTAGTTTTAAACACCCATTTGCAACCAATAGGATGTTTACCCTGAGGTAATTCACAGACAGTCCAAGTTTGAGTCCGATCTAGAGCCTCAAGTTCAAGTAACATAGCCTTCTTCCATTCATCAAATTTTACAGCTTGGGAATAGGTTTTTGGTTCAGGAATAACAGAGGTGGAACAAACAAAGTGTCTGTATACAGGGGAAAGATGGTCATAGGACAAAACACAAGAAAGGGGATATGGTGTATTAGGCTGTATTGGTGGTGGAGTTTGGTGTTTAAGTAGGTAACAATGGTAATCTGCAAGATAGCCAGGTGGTTTCACATGCCTCTGTGGTCGCACATTGTTCTCAGCATTCAAAGATTGGATTGAATCATTGAAAGATTCTGGAGAAATAGAATCAGAAGAATGTACATCAGATGAAGATGTTGCATTCTGTAAAGAAACAGGGGACTGAAAAATATCTGAGATGGGAACTGAAGGTGGATCAGAATCATACAGAACAAAAGGTGATAAAGAAGATGATGATTCAGATGAAAAAGATGAATCAGAAGAACGAAAAGGGAACACAGTCTCATGAAAGACAACATGCCTAGAATACACCACTTTCTGAGATTCAAGTAATAAAACTTTGTAACCTTTCATACCAGATGGATATCCCAGAAAAACACCCTCTTGAGCCCTAGGAGAAAACTTGTGTCTGTCTTTAAGTTGAGTAGAAACATAACATAAACATCCAAAGACCTTTAAATGTGCATATTCAGGTTTAACACCAGTGAGTTTCTCAAAAGGAGTTTTAAAATCAAGGAGAGGAGTTGGAGTCCTGTTTATAAGATATACTGCAGTGAGTATGCAATCTCCCCAATGAATCAAAGGAATATTTGACTGAAAAAATAGGGCACGAGCCACATTTAAAATGTGTTGATGTTTTCTCTCAACAACAGAATTTTGTTGAGGAGTATAAGGACATGATCTATAATGAAAAATACCTTTGCTGGCCAAAAAATCTGTAAAATTCAGTTCAGGAGCATGATCAGTCCGAATTGCTTTTATTTTTGAATCAAACTGTGTTTCAATGAAAGAGACAAAGGCTTTGAATTTGAAATGAACATCACTTTTATTTACTAACAGATACACCCAAACTAGGCGTGTACAATCATCAACAAGTGTAAAAAAATATCTGTGACCATCAGATGTTGACAAATGAAAAGGACCCCACACATCCAAATGCACAAGATCAAAAGGTTTTTCAGACATATGACCCGAAGAAGGAAAAACAAGGTGTTTTTGTTTTGCTTTAGGACAGACATCACAATGAGTAAAATCAACAGAATCTGGTGTAAAAGACAGCTGAGAAGTTCTTCCAAGAGACTGTATTCGGAGAAAAGATGGATGTCCCAATCTTTGATGCCAAAGATTGAGTGGAGCTGAGGTGAGTGCAGAGCAAAGAGAAGGCTGAAAAGAAGAGGTCGGTGTCTGAACTGAAGACTCCACATCCAGAATGTATAGATTGTGGAGCATCTTACCCTTGCCAATCATCAAGGCCTGAGTAAGGTCCTGAAGAATGCAAGAATCAGATGTAAAAGTCAAAGAAATATTGTTGTTTTTGGTTAAAGCACTCACACTCATCAAATTATATTTGAAAACTGGTACAAATAACACATCTGTCAAGGTCAATGAATGAGAAACTTTGACTGTTCCAGATTGTGTTACAGAAAAAGTGGCACCAGTGGGTAAAGTAATGGTGATAGGAGGAATCTGATGAAGAACTGAGAACAATGAGCTATCACAACAAACATGGATACTAGCACCTGTGTCTATGATCCAGACTATTGAGGGAAAAAAAAGGTCAGGTTCAAATGAGGATAAGATAGGAAAGGAAGAAAGATGAGTACCTGGTGAATTAGGCATGGGAGTATTAGCTGTAAAATTTGAAGTCATGGTTGAAAGACTATTTCCCTTGATTTGAGTTGAGAGCTGTGCTAACAATGCTTGTGCTTGCTCCAAAGCACTCGGATTTGAAGTGAATGCATTATTAACCATAGCAACAGACTGCCCCTCTAGACCAGACGGATTCTTCACCAAATTGACAGAGTGTGGACGTGTTTCACCAGGCTGAGGTCTCGGCTTATTATAAAACTGTGGCCTGGGATTCCAACTATGCTGATTACTTGGAGATGATGACCTTGATCCAGGTGGATAGCCATAGATCTTGTAACATCTATTGACTGTGTGTCCTGCAATTCCACAGTGTGTGCAAATAGGACGTGTTCGAGGACCACCACTTGGAGGAACAGATGGTGTAAAGGATCTAGGTCGTGGAGCAGATGCAGATGTTTGAAACACTGCTTGCTCTGTAGAAGTCTGTAAGTTTAAACGCTGTTGTTCTTCCTGTGCACACATACTATACACCTTAGACATATCTGGTAGAGGATCAAGCATAAGAATCTGTCTCCGAGCCAAATGATATCCTTCATTTAGACGCATCAGGAAACGAACAACGTTACGGCGTTCATAGAATTCAATCCACTTTTGCTGATAATTGCAAGTACATCCTCCACATGTACATCCACGACAATTACAAGCAGGAATTGGTTCAAAATTTCTTAGCTCTTCCCAAAGGAGATTCAACTTCGTAAAATATGTGCGCAAATCCATTGATCCTTGATATAAGGTATCTATCTTCTGTTGAATGTTGAAAACCTTCGACACATTATTCTGTTTGAAATGTCGCTCCAAAGTTTTCCAAATCTGAGCTGCCGAATCTAAAGATACTACGAGACTCGAAATATCTGGAGCAACAGAATTGCAGATCCATGTACTGACTAGATCATCGCAACGAGACCAAGTCACAAAGTCCGGATGATCAGGTGGAGGTCGAGGAACGGTACCTGTGATAAATCCGAGTTTGTTCTTCAGATTCAAAGTCTTCAGCACAGATCGCGCCCACACATTGTAGTTAGATTCATCAACGAGCTTCTCAGATATCAAATTCAAGCTGGAGGTGTCAGCTACATGCAGATATAACGGATTCAGATACGGATCTGAAACTGACGAAGTTGTCGAAGAAGATGAATTTTCTGGAGCTAGATTTGGTGCAATCGGTGATCGGAAATCGTTCGACATCGAGAACCAAAGATCAAAGAGAAAAAGACCAAATCAAAAAATAAAAGGATGAAAAAATTTTATGTGCTCTGATACCATTTTGTGTAATGGATCCTGAAAATCAGAAAGAGAGGAAGAAGAAGACGAGAGAAATTGTGGAACCTTTCTGATTTTCATTAAAATGAGTAAAAAAGTCAACAATGGTCTTTTATACATCCGAAAAAGACTAGTATGGAAACCCACACATTAAAATGACTCTATTAGAGCTAAAATTGGGAAACTGAAAATCGCAGCACTGATATTACGGAAACAGAACAAATATACAGTTGCCATATTGCGTTGAAACAATCCTGCATATACGCAATTGCCGATTGTCTCAATCCCGTATCCTCCGTAATAGTTTGTGAGTAGTAACTCTTGGGCACTTTCTCATGGTCCCTCATCAATGGCCTGAGTGTAAGTTTAGTGTAGAAATGGGTTTTTTGACAAAGGGAACTCCATTCTTCACGCGCGATTCGTCTCTAAAGATCGGTTTTCCCTCACAGATAGATATTATTTTTGTCCAGTGTTTTTAGATTTTCAGTCATTACAGTAGATTAGTAGGTGTCTGTTCCATGTACACAACCGCAAACCAAGTTTGTCTTAAAAATCTTTTGTCAGATGGGATCTTCATGTTCCTTCTTTTTACAAGTGAAACAACTTACAGAAAGTCTACAAAAGAAGCAAATGTCTGCTTCTTTTCACACGGCCTTTTCTGTACAATATGTTATTCATGAGGCCATTATGGGAACAGATTTAACACAGAAAAGGAAATCGATGGTTTCAGGTAAACTAGAAGAGGTTGAAGCTGCTCCATTTGATCATCATCAACCCTTGTTGCGGAGAAGGCATCTGTTGGTGATTCCTCCCCGAATCTATCAGCTGTTGATAACTGCGTTGCAGGAGATCAAGAATCTCTGCCTCTCTGTTCCATTCCACACATTGAAAAACAGTTCGATTCAATTTGCTGTTATCCTTCTGGGTCAGATACGTACCATCTACACATGTCTATATACATATATATATATATAACGAGTGTGTATCTTACCTTGAGTAACAAGCTATTCTTGAAATCTGTGGGAGACAGCGAGGGCCTTCATCGTAGCCTTCGCATATGATCTCGCCGTTATCATCTCTGTAACAGACAATACCTTGCACTGGATCCTCGAAAACCTGGTTTCAAGAGCCATTATGTTTTTGTCAAGTGAGTCGTGTCCAGATCCTCAAGAAAACCGAAACCTAGTTCTGAGAACCGGGTTTTGCCAAGTGGGTTCCGCTCAGATTCTCAAGAAAACCGAAACCCGTTATTAAAAACCATGTTTTGCCAAGGTGGTCATCATGCCGATCATTCGAAAAGAGAAAACAGACAGAAAAAGGGTTCTCACCTTGTTCTTGGGGGAGAATCTGACAGGCCGAGGGTAAAGAACCTCCACTTTCTTGATCTGTAATCGCTTCTGTTGAAGCATCGAAGTGGTTCTTCTTACAGATTTGGGAACAAGACATGGTTTCTGGAGAGGAACACAGATCCGACACGAATTTGCCATCGCCATGCTGCTTTGTCAAAACTGTCTCAGAACCAGATGAAAACAGCCGCTTTAGATCAGTTTGTAGCCTAAGGGGGTTGAAAACGGGGGAATAAAATTGTTACAACTTTGGGTTTTCATTGGTCCGTTTTAAAAAATAATTTGAGAAAACAGCGTCTGTGTCTCGGTATTATTGAAAAAATGGTGGGGGTTTAAATAGACATAAGGTACAATAAAGAAGATGATAATAAAAAAAAAAAAATTGTTGATAAGAGAGCCACTATGAACAGGTAAATGTCTTTGTCGTGGATCCATTTAAATGACTGTAATAATTTAATTTGTTGTTTGTTTCTTATAATCTTTTGGTCTAGCAAACCATTGGCTGGACTGTACTTTGGGTTTAGTCGTTGAATCGACACCAGGCAAAAATAATATATATAAGCTATCATATTGTATATATATTTTGATTATGTATGCGTTCATGTATGTGTGCATATTTATATATATATGTATGTGTATCTTTGTACTGTGATTGGGTGAATAATATATACAGTCAATAATCGTTGATGGAGTTTGATAACCCACGTATCGTGTAAGACACGTATGCAAAATGTGAAGATATGTGAGATGTCATATATATATATATATATGTCCATTATAGTATTAGATGAATAATATATATACCATACATTGTCGTTGACGAAGTTCTGATAAGCCAATTTATTCAAATTATATGTTGTGTGACACATCATAAATAAACTGTATATATAGTCTTATATGGTGCGAAAAGAAAAGAATCAATAGTTAATTATACTTCTTTTCTTTCGAAATAATTTTAGAAAATTTTATATTTTTTATTCAAGACATTTTATAAAAATATTATTCATCAATTAGGGATTCACATACATGATTTCTTTATTAAGTTAATCATACTTTATTGTCTACGGCCCAATCATGTGCGCTTTGGTGACATGTCAATTACTATTTCTTTATTTGATATATAATAACATGTCATATTATTAATTTTATAATGATTATTAGAGCAATGATTAATTCAAATAATAAATAAAAACTCCGGTAGGGTTTGTTCTTAGACATGGAGGCATCATCGTTGGGAAAATGTCTTCGTCCCTCCTTACGTCAATTAGGTGTTCGAAATTAATATTTTATCATATGGTGAACAGTTATTTCTTCCCCCAGTTTGATTTATCTGTCTAATCAAAGATTAAATTACACATTTAATAATCACGAAATTCTACTTGGAAGAAGTACACAAATTGCTTTTTATATTTCTTCTAGTACATATGAATTTATTAATGAGATAATTGAAAAAATAACTATGCATCTACAAGTATTGAGAATAATAATAAACTCTCCTTAGTTTTTTTTTTTAAAAAAAAAACTATTTTTGTGGTGTCAATGTTTAGTTTTAAAAATCTGAATTAAGGATTGGTATCGTGTTGAATAACATATAACTTTATTTGATGACTTGAAACTAAAGTTTCAAAATCAAATTTATTAAATCCTAACTAAATATAAAAACAACCGAAATTTTAAAATATACCGAGCTCAATCCTAAAAAATATCAATAAAAAAAAAATAACAGACTCAAATTCTAACACAAAAATCAAATATGTATCATTTTTTAAAAAACTAAAAACCCGAATACAAAAATAATGAACGGAATCAATCCCAAACATATAATATTTGCAACAAAAAAATATTAATTTTTTTTTCTAGATTTTCACTGCTTTAGGAAGAAAATATTAAGAATACGTGACTCACAAACAACTTTGAAATTGGAGTCCTAAATGGACATTATAAACAAAAATATATTCGAGTAATGGAATAATAATATATCGCATTAGGTCTGAAGATGTGTGGTCGCAAAATCCCCGCCTCCATTAAATCAAAACTCGCAACCCAATAAAGAAACTAAACCAAATAAAGAAATAACGATATTATAATATGAATCTGTCATTTTCTGGCTCGTCCACTTATATCGTGGATCGCTGGCCTAACTTATCTGTATGAATACGGTCACATATTTTTTAAAAGGCCCCGAATATTCCATTTGCAATGTTATATATTATCCAATAACAATTGTATAATATGCAGTCCAATAACATTTGTTGCGTTCATAGTAATTATGCAAAAAAAAAAATATCATTATTCCGTTGTAAATAAATAAATAAATAAATATTAGGTTTGTAACGGAAAAGCAAAATAATTATTGGGCTTATGGGCCGAAACTTTGGCATTGTTGCAAAAGTCGGTGTTTGAGATTATTAGATAACGAAGAAAAATACACGAGCAAACAAAATACATGGATACGGAAATTAAGGATACATATGATATGAAACACGTAAATGAGATATAACATCACCATTACATTAGTATAATAAGTTTTCCATGCATGGCTATGGCTTGACACATGTTAACAACACCATCGTCATCATCATCATCAGTAATGGCGAAACGTTCGCCTTATTCATGCACATAACACAACAGCAAGAGCTCTCACAGCTCATATCTCGAAGATCAAAGATCGAGTTTGAACGGAAAACCAGTACCCTTTAGCCAGCTCCCACCGTCGATGAACGGACCGGTGGTGAACTGCTCGGCCTCTTCTGGGTCTGTAATTACCTTGAAGCTCTTCCACTTCACCCTACGTTTCGTATTTGCTCCCATTCCTCTGTTCTGATACTCTCTGAATGTAAGGTTGTCCAACTCGAAGGTGACGCCCCAGCCTTGCCAACCATCGGGTCGGAGCAGGTCGGAGATGTAGGACTGCATCACGACGGACCGTGCGAATTCCCTCTCGGGACGACCGAGATACGTCGTGGAATACAGCCAGTGGTCGAGATCGGAGGCTTCGATCCTAGAGTTCTGGATCACGATCCCCGTGTCCTGGTTCTGGTCGGACCGAGACTGGGCAGTGACGATGTTGTCGATGAACAAGAACTGTTGGCGAACTCGGATGTCGGAGCCTTGGAAGAAAGCGGCGGAGTTTCCGTAGATGATGTCTCTGTTACCGGTGATGAAACAGTCGGCGAAGAATTGGCGTTTGGATTGGACGTGAAGTGTGCGTTCGTAGCTGGAGAATCCGCAACGGTAGAAGGCCGATTTGTCGGAGCCTACTCGGAGGGCCACGGCTGCCCCGTTCCCCGAACCTCCAGTGTTCTCGAACGTTATGTCACGCGCCAAGAACCCCTCGCTTATCACCCCTGCACATTGCCATTAACATCTATATCGTAATGTTTTCATTAGGAGAATTACAATAGGTTTATTTTCATATAAATTTATCATTAATTTATACCCGATGGTCAATTTGGTGAATACAAATTTATAAGTTTTCTAGGGTTTGAGTACTCAAATGTAGGATGTCAATTTTGACCCGAAATTCGACAGGAAATCACTTGAAAAATATCGGGTTTCCGTCCTAAATTTTTAGAATTTAGAGGTCAAACTCAAATCGGGTTTTGAATCGGTTCGAAAGAACGGTTTCGTTTTTTTAAATTTAGTAAAAAATATTTTTTTTAAAAATGTTTATAAAGAAGGGATTGAATGGATCGCCCGGCCCTAATCCAAAATTGAGTTCTATGGGGTCAGATTTCGGGCTTGTAATAGGCTCGATAAAAACCGAGTCGGTCCAAACCCAAACTCGAGACCTTCGGGTCGATTGTAGGTTCGGGTCGGACTGACCCGATTACACCCCTAGGGATATGTACCCGAGTATCGCAAAATCGGGACCAAGATATTTCAACCATAAAACCTGCGAGGGTGAGGTTAAGATCGAAATCAATCACCCAAAAACTCGGATACTTGATGTGAGTCTACCCCTGTTACTCTTATATCTAACTATGACTTGAAAAGGATTAGTGAACGTTACCAACTGTTGCAGATTGGAATGGTGACCAGCCATTGGCGACGCTCCTATTTCCGGTGATGAAGGTGTGAAGGCGGCCATCGCCCACGACCATTATGTTCTTCCGGTGACCCATCACCCTCACATTCTCCCTGTAAACTCCCGTCTTTATCCTTATCACACACCTCTTTTCGTTATTACTCGGCGCCGCCTCAACCGCAGCCGCCACCGTCGTGTAATCCCCGCTACCGTCCTCTGCCACGACCGCGTCCGCCTTCACACTCTCTGACTGAAGAAGCTGCCTGTTAAAAGACAGTATACTACGGAAAGTTAACATTTGTTTTTTTTTTTCAGTTGTGTTTCATATCCTCAATACCTGTCTTCCTCTGAGAGCCATAATGGCCACTGGTCTCCGTCCACGTGGCCGCCACCGGAAACTTCCTCGATGATATTTGGACCTGTGGAGGTTCCATCCTTTAGCTTGGAGTTTGATATGTCGGTGGTCTTGATCATGGCGAGTGCGATGCTACACAGACGCTCTACATGTCTCTACAAGTATATATCGTCTTCGGTCAATCGCAACGTATATATATCTTATAATATGCACACAAATATTATATCAAACCATCAAAATTTTAAAATATGCAAATACACATGTTTATACATATACATATATATGTACTTGTATATACGAACATATATATGTATACCACACGGTCCAAGAAGGCATTGCGAAGCATAATATCGGCGAGATCATTAGAGAGCCGTCGAGGCAAATATCTTGATAGGTCATGGCAGAGCTAATCAGTGTATTGAGATCTCTGGCCTGTTGCCCCCGGAGATTTTTCTCGTTAGGGTACGACCGGAGACCCTCCATGGCCGCGTCGATGTCATCGAGCGACAAGTCAAAGGTCTCCAAACAGTCGTCAACCGCCATCTTTGCCCTGTTCGTAAGTCTTGTACTCCTCATTCGGGAAAGACTCTTCATGGCCAACTGGTTATGTTTCACTGCCGTGGCGGTCGTGTTCAACACGATCGCGATAATGTCCTCACGGGACCCCGCGGCCACGGCTGAAACAGTGGACACGCAGAGGTGTGGATGTGGTGTGGAGCTACACGCAGAATTTGGGATTCCGTGGGACGAAGAGGTTGGCTCGCCGGAGTTACCGCTCGCCAGAGAAGTTCCGGCGACAGTGGAGAGGAGGAGCAAGGCGGTGGAGACGGCAGGTAAGAGTATGAGTTTCATGTTTTTGTTTTCTTGAGATATTTCATTTCGGGTATCGAGTTTTATAATTAATAATTATTTAGGCATGTGATTGTTGTGTTTGTTATTCGATGACGTTAATATCCAAACGTCGAAAGATATGAATACAAACGACAATTTATCGTAACCCAAAAGACCGAACTAGCCATGTTCAAGGAATCTTAACAGTTCAAAGAACACGTGTTTTAAGCCTTGTATATATATATATATATATGTATATATAGCATGATTATTATATCTCATGATTCCGTATATTATATGGATATTTACATGTGTGTATCAACGTATATACATATTAGGGTAATTTCTACTTTTGCAAGGAAGGAATGGTAAATTAAACTCTGAAATTTGAAGAAATAAGAGAACTTTTTATATGTTTATATAGTGTTCTACCAATTAAGAGACGTTAAATATCTCACGTATTCCATTCTATATCTATCGACTATCGTGCATGCAAAGTCCATGCCATTCATTTCAACAAATCTATTAGAAATGTTCATTATGTCATCTCGTTGACATCTAATAACCATAAATAAATTTAGCATATAGGAATGAATTTAATAAGTGCGTGGCCACCTCACCACGAGGTGTAAAAATAATTCGCATTAATTTATACAATTTTGAGTAGGAAATTCGAATTTCAAGGCCGAGTTGAAGGCACGATTATTTAGTGCGAAGGCTCGTGAATATTAATTTGTCCACAAGGAAAGCAACAATACGAAGAGAGAGAGAATGATGGGTTCATCTTCTATCGTAGACCAATCCATCAATATTTCATTTAATATATATATATATATATTCAAACGTACCCAAATTCGGTTAATCGATGCGAGTTGCACTAAAAAATTTAACACACCATCAAATCCAAGCGGGAGGTGGAATATTCACGTAAACTTCTTCAATTTTGTGAGAAATTTAATTAGATCAAAAATTCGTTAAACTTTCGTATTATAAAAAAAATATGCTATTTGTTTTATTGATTATACATGTTTCTCTACCTAGGGAGAAGTTTGAGGTTTAAATGCTTATCTCAATATAACTTTCAGTTGGAATACTTATTTATGCAGAATACAAAATTCTACATATTATCATTATCATATTACTGTTTCTAAAATTATTTATTTATATTTAAATAAAATGTTCGAATATTATACACAGTCATTATATATTACAATCATTAACATAAATAAAAACTTCAATAATTTTCTACTCAAGTATCTACTAATGAAAACATTTTTTTTCTAAAAGTAATCTACGTGGAACAACTAGGAAGGTTAAATCAAATGCGATAATCACTATATAATTTTCTAATTACTTGGTTGAAAATGCATCATTGAAACTTCATGTTGATATAGCAAGAATGTAATTTTAGATTGATATTTAATTATATAATAGTAAAATTACCAACAAACCACCAGTGGTCTAGTGGTAGAATAGTACCCTGCCACGGTACAGACCCGGGTTCGATTCCCGGCTGGTGCACCATGTAATTTGAACTCCATTTTTTAAATTATTTTTTTTTAACATATACATAAAATTTAAAAACTTGTACAATTGTCAATAATTGCATTATTTTTATTTTTGTCTATAGCCAACTGTAATTTGGATAGAAGAAGTCCGGACAAGTCGCAAGACCCGAGACCCCAGGGAACTGCACAGATGGAGCAGTGGTCCGATCAAAGACCGAGAGAGAAAGGGAAACCGGTCGAAGGTAACCAGCCTCCACCACCAATGAAGCGGCCAGCGGTGTATTGCCCAGCCTCGGCGGCACTTGTAATTACCTTAACGCCCTTCCACTTCACCCTATTTTCAGTCTTTGCCCCCGCCCCTCTGTTCGCGTATTCTCTATACGTCAAAGTGTTCAACGCAAAGCTCCCGTCCCACTCGTGCCAGCCTTCCGGTCGGACCACGTCTGATATGTCCGACTGCATCACGACTGTTCGTGCGTATTACTTCCACGGACGGCCCAGATACGTCGGGAAACTCCCTTTCACGGACTGGAGATCCGACGTGGCACCGATCCGACACTTCTGGATAACGATCCCTGTGTTCTGGTTTGGGTCGGCCCGACTGGAGGCCGTGATCATGTTTTGCTGTCCCCGGTTCGGTCTCCTCGCGTGGATGTCGCAGTCTTGTAAGACGACAGCTGCGTTTCCGAAGATGAAGTCTACGGTGCCTGCAATGAAGCACCTGCCGAAGAATTGACGGTTCGAGTGGACGTAGAGAGAGTCTTGATACGCTATCACGTTGCATCGGTGGAAGGCCGAGAGGTCCGAACCGACTCGTAGCGCCACCGCTTGGTGCTTCGACGGCCCGGCAGTGTTCTCGAACGTGATATCACGCGCCAAGAACCCTTCTCCAACCACGGCTGTTCCAAATTTGGGAAAAAAACACGTTAGTTTAGGTTAGTTGGCAAGTGTTATATATGTTACACATTGAACGTATAAATTGAATTTATTACTCGGGCAGAAAAATGGAATATATATTACGCTATTAATTCTTTACGTAGAATAAAAGAAATACAATCTAGAGAACCTACCTTCTTTTAATTAGTCCGTGATTTTGTTCAATCACGGAATTTGATTATGAATATACTCCAATTCACAAATCACGATCGACTAGATATTTCATTATTAAAAATATTCAGATATAATTCATTTTATTATATTCGTTATTACCCATCAATATGCTGGACTCATGGGTTATATTTTTTATAAACACAGAAAATCGGTATTTAGCATCGTTAATTTGTTAAAATAATTAATAAAAATCATATATTTTTTCTAATACCAAAAAATTTAAAAACATAAAAAAATGAGTGTGCTTACCAACGGTGGCAGATCGGAAAGTGGTGCTTCCATCAACGACGTTCCTTCTTCCGGTGATAATAGTCCTCTTCCCACCGTCTCCGATGAACATTATGTTCTTCTTCCTGCTCGGAACCTCCACGTTCTCTCTGTAAACACCAGCTTTTATATGAATCACGTACCTCTTTTTGCTGTTCTCAGGCGCCGCCGCCACCGCTGCTCCCACCGTCCGGTAGTTTCCGCTTCCATCGGTGGCCACCGTGACGTCAGCCCTAACCTTAGACGCCTGGAGGAGCCTCCTTTCCCCGGCCGAGAGCCACTCTGGCCACCCATCGCCACCGTTAACCTATAATGATTTTATTTTGTAATTATATATATAATAGATTAGGGTTAATTTTATAATGTTTACAAAAAAAAAATTATATAACCTCGGTCTCCTCGGTGAGCTTCCGGTTCCGGTGATTGTCGGCCGGCCTTAGCTCGGAGTTGGCGATGTCGGTGTCGGTCACGTTCTTCGACATCGCTAGTGCGTTGCTGCACAAGTAGGGGTGGGCGTTTCGGGAAACGGTTCGGGTTCGGGACGGAATAGATCGTGTAATACCCTAATTTTTTCAATTAATTAAAGCTTAAAATATATTAATATAATAAATAATATTATTTTTATTAATATATATAAATAAGTAGGTGGGCATTAAGCCGCCCACGTTATAAATACATATATATTATATAATAAAATAAATATACAATGGCTCTACCACTTAAATATATTAATAATATTTATAAAAAAAATGAATAAAAAAAAAGATACTCTCTCCTATAAAAGGAGGTGTCGTGGTGAGGGAGAGAGCAAGAGTGAGAGTGTTTTTTTTATTCATTTTTTTTATAAATATTATTAATATATTTAAGTGGCAGAGCCATTGTATATTTATTTTATTATATAATATATATGTATTTATAACGTGGGCGGCTTAATGCCCACCTACTTATTTATATATATTAATAAAAATAATATTATTTATTATATTAATATATTTTAAGCTTTAATTAATTGAAAAAATTAGGGTATTACAATCTATCTCAGAGCTTGTATATATGTACAAAATTGTTGATTAATTCGGGCTCGTTGAATATTTATGATTATTTTATATGCATGAATTATTGTGTTGATTTAATATTTTAATAACGTTCAAAGTCTGGACCAGGTCGGAATGGTCCCACACCATCCAGACTGAGGTTCCAGACAAAGAAACATGAAAAATTTAAATATGAAAAAAGATGAATGATGAATTATGGGCCAAACGGCCTGAATTCAGGCCGATCCTGTTTTATAAAAAAAATTTATTTTTAATAAAGAATAATAATAATAAATAAATAAATCAGACAAAAGGATCGGACGGTCCATAAACTGGACCAACTCGAACCGCCAAAATAATAATAATAATAATAATAATAATAATAATAATAATAATAATAATAATAATAATAATAATAATAATAATAATAATAATAATAATAATGATAAAAAAAATAATATTAAGAATAATAATAAATAAATAATAGGGCAAACGATCCAGAAATTGGATCGACTCAGTCTAACCTTAAATTCAAAATTTAACCAAAATATGACTAAATTTGGTTCCAAGTGGACTACACATAGTTCAAACCAAACGCTACGACCGGATAAGTACCAATCTCGGGACGAGCCGAACTGGTAATCCGG